AGAAAAGCTTTTATAAAAATCTGTCAGAAGACAAATTTTACACCTTATATAAAAGAGAGAAGAAAGCCATGCTGCAATAAAACCAAAACCAGAAATTGAACTTGACCCTTGGGCACAAGCTTGTAAACACTACCTGTATGAGAACAACCCACAGGAAGAAGTTACAGCAAATTTGCTTTGTGAGTTTACTTGTTCCTAATACAGAACAAGTGTTTTGAGGAGCCCAGCAAACTACTGCAGCGTAGTACAGGTAGGCTAGCATTATCAGATGGGCAAGGGAAAAGTAGGCTTCCCTCTCCTGTCTACATTCAGTAGGAACTCAGCTCAGAGGTCTCTTGGACTTCTTTGAAAATGTCTTTGAGACATGTTTCCGTTTAAAAGTTAGTATTCATTTAGAAATTCAGTTCACACATGGATAATTGAAATATCACTGTTACTTAGGAGCTCTCGTGTATGTGACAGAACACTGTCTTATGGCAACTACTATGCATGCAACGTCTCATGCTATGTATTTACAAAAAGAAGCAGTGATCAGAGATCTAGGATTTAGTTTAATCCCCATTTTTTAAGGGAAAAATTTACTAAAGACAGGAACAGAAATACTTCTTGCTACACTTATAAACACAGCAGATACAGTGAAATATTTTACTGATAAACATCTGAAAACTTTAAAAATGATCATTTGCCTTGAGTTTTTTTGCTTTCATTGTGTATATTCTTGATGAGAAGATAAATGTGCTTTTTGGGGCTGCAATGGAATCCAGCATTCAGTTTAATATTAAATTCTTTATAAAAATAGCTTATACATGATTAATACGTTTTTAAAAGTAACCAGTTATTAAAAGTCCAGTATTATTATGGGCTGCTTATAACACCATTATTACTTTGTTATAAAATTGATGCTTGTAACCATTAGAAATATTCATCCTTTTCAAGTATACAACACAGCTATAAAATCTATTAATCATGCTTTAACCTGTTATAATTGGAACTTTTATTTATAGTGTAACCAAATTAAATTTATGATTTTCACCTCAAGTAATATGTTTCAAATTCTGAATGTAAGTCTTTATGATATAGGGAGTTATCAAGCACTGAGACTTGGTATGTAAGACACCTAAATACTCATGTCATTGGTGTGTGAACATTTCAGTTTAATTAGTCTAGTTCTGAATGTTTTCATTCCGATAACGTACTTAAAATATAAACTTATGTTTTTAGAAATAATGATATGTACTATTGTTTTCATAGCTTTCTAAAAAGAAAAAGAATCTGGGAAAATATAGTTTATAAAAAATAAATACTCCAAACCTTTTAGCATTCTGTTTCCCCCTTGTAAATAGCATGGCCATTTGCCAGTATCTCCTCTGTTTTACAACACTCTTTAGCCACTAGATTACTTTTTTGTTAGCAGCCAATGATATGATGCTGGAAATGATTTTGTAAAGAGTACTCTGAGGTGGAAAGTGTTTGGGTTTGTTCCTCTTGGTATATGGTTTCACTGGATAACCTTTTGTAAAAAGACAGATGAGAAACAAAAGCAAAGCAAAAAAAAAAAAAAACCTCCCTGGGACTGAAATACTTTGTATGTGTTGTTATTTGCAGTGCATGCCAAGACATTCATGGGCACCAGAGCCAACCTGGCGAGCTAATTAAGTATATAAATGTATGTGTTTAAAACAGCCTTATAAGGAGCATTGGAAATCTGCAAGATGAGCGAATATCTTATAACTTCTTCCGCAGGTGCGAGGATAGCTACAAGCCATGGACTTTCTGTCCTGCTTCTTGTTTGTGGCTTTGTGAAGGGTGCTTTGCTTTAATCTAAAAGTGCTGACTTTTTCCAATATCACTTTCTCTTCTTAAAGCAAAGAGCAAATCGCCTGTAAAATCCACGGAGCGGACAGCAAAGTTGACCCTAACCTCCAAC